TAGAGACGGGGTTTCACCATGTTGACCAGGACGGTCTCGATCTCTTGACCTCGTGATCCACCCGCCTCGGCCTCCCAAAGTGCTGGGATTACAGGCTTGAGCCACCGCGCCCGGCCCTCAGATTGCTTTTATATCAAAGTTAAGAGCCTGCAAAAAATGTAAAATGGCTATGAATTCTTTGCAGCTACTCTGAGTTAGAGGTGGAGTCTATTTCCAATCCCCTCCCATTGAATCTGGGCTGGCTCTAAAACTTCCTTTGACCAACAGAATGTGGCAGAAGAGAGGCTATGTAATTTCTGAGTTTAGGCTTCAAGCTTATAGCTTTTGCTCTTATCCTCTTGCCAGAAAGTTCTGTCATGTGAAGGAGGTTGAGCTGGCCTATTGAAAGGGGAGACCACATGGCAGAGATGAGTCATCTCAGCTGAGATGCCCTGGATCACCTAGCTCCCAGGTACCAGCTGAGTGCAGGGTATGAGTGACCCCAGGTGAAACTAACAAAAGAGCCACCCAGCTGAGGCCAAATGGCAATGTTAGCAAGAGTGCCCAAATTGCTGACCCACAGAATCATAAGCAAATAAAACAGTTGTTTTAAGCCACTATGTTTGAGATGGTTTGTTATGCAATAGATAACTGACACAAGGCCCTACACAAATGATGTTTTATTATCAATAGCAATTCAAACACACACACATAAAACCAGGCCACTTGGTTATTTGCCAGCAGATTTACCAACCATCAAGTGGTGCTTCCAAGCTCTCATCTCACCGGTGCACCTAGGGCCAGTGAGGCAGCACATTCACTTGGAAAAAGCTAAGACAAATTAGTGATCAGATTTGGAAAGATGGAGGCAAGCTTTCTGCACCAAGGCAGGGTGCCAAGTTAGATTCTTGTAGAGGGTTATCATGGGAATGCAAGATTTTGTTTGTTCCTTTTGGTCTACGATAAAATACAAAGCCAGAAATGCATGAATTTGGCTTCCTTGGAAGCAGTGTTATTCCAGAACACTTGAATATTGCACAACAGTGTGGGTAGACACCTTCATGGCATGAGCCAACCAATTCAAGGTCAGCATCACTAGGGGAGAATCAAGGGAGCCAGTCAGAACCAATCATGTCATTTCCATGGTCCAGATCTGTGGCTCCAAGAATGCAGGAAGCTCCGAATGCCTCCATCTTATTCTGCTGGTCAAAGCAAGTGAAGGACTTCAGGATATGCCACTCTAAAACATACCGTATTCGTATGATTCTTTTGAGCTGAAGGCATTTGAAAAACAGCAAATGCAGAGAGAGGCTTTCACTGGGCTCCCGTTATCTGCCTAAAGACAGACAGATGCTCCAAAAGGAACTTGGCTGTCATCAATTCTCTCCATAGAAGCTTCATCAACCAGGGGAGATTAACTCTTATCATAGGTAAGAAGACTAGAACACACACCCCACCTAGACAAACTCTGTCACAAACCACTGTGTATCTCCCATTTATTCTTCTGAGGGCCCATTCATCTTCCCAAAAAATCATTTACTCTTCCCTTAGTTGCCTATATCCCTCCTCCTGTCTGTCCTGTGAAGAGAGTATATGAGCTCCAAAATCCAACTGCCTGTTGTCAGTTTATTTCATAGACCCAGTTGTTGACCCCACAGGTTAGAGTGAAAGTCTTCCCTTCCCACCACAAGAGAATGATTATATTCTAAGCTGTGATTTTACTGTGACCTAAACCAAAGGTTATTTCACTGTAGGACACAGGGGGAAAAAATAGCAAGCTCCATAAATCAGAGTTCCCATCCCTGTAACATGAGGGAAGAACTGATACTCAACTTTGTAGGGAAATTGCTCTGAGATATGTGATCAAAGGCTCTGGAAGCTTAAGTCCCCGTTTATTATAAACAAAACTACCACATTTAAATGAAAACAATCTTACTCAATTATTTGCTAAGCTGAACAGCCATGGTGCTAAAGGTTCTTACACAAGGCCGGTAGCCTTTGTCTGTGCATTACCTGTTTGTTCTTGTTTGTTGAGCTCATTCTTTGTAGTATCTATTTTGTGGATATATCGGCATGGAGGGAAAAGTTGTTGAGGGTGCAGAAGCGGAAAAGGCAAGAATTATATAAAAGTAAGACAATTCTAAGAGCTTACAGGTCTGATCATCTTGAAAAACAAAATTCCCTGCTTAAAGCATCTCAGAGTAATTCCATTGAGCCCAACCAAAATTGCTGAATCTATTGAAAGTGATCAGGTTATGAATCAAGAGAGTTCAGAAAACTCCTGACAGTGTGGAATTACAGAGCTGATGAGATGTTCGCAGATGAAGATGCCATAAAATAAAGTAACTAACCCAAGAACTTGCAGCTAGCTTTGGTACAGAGCTGGATTTGGGCTCCAGGAAAGCAGGACCCCTGCCCCACTCCACAGAGGCCCCTCTCAACATACAAGGTATTTACAATGTGAGGGGATGCAGGCACCCCATAATTCCAACTCAGTTGCTCAGAAAACAGAAATTAGCTATCAAATAAGGTGGGGATGGGGGGCAGAAACTCTGCACTTACCATGTAGGAGCAAGTCAAGATTATAACTTTTTGTGGTGTAGACTTAAATTTCTCTACCCACACTTAAGAGTACTCAGCAGCCATTAAAATAGGCAAAAGCACAAGAAATGACTTATGTTATATTTAAAATTCAAAACTTAAGTCTATAGAGAATATGTGAAAAAACTATATAGAAAGGGGAAAACAGCAGCAAAATACATTAACGTGCTCATGACGACAACCGGCACCTTTTAAAATTGGGTGATTTTTACTCTTAATTCTTTCTGCTGTTGTTCATAGGCCAAATATGCTTTAATGATCTCAAACTACTTAAATGCTCCTGAATTTTTTGACTACTTTCGTGCAGAAGAGATAGAATGTCAACAGCAGGTAGTGGTCAGGGGCAAAGGCAATGTGAGCAGTGGTGAGTGTGGACATCGAATAAAGCACAGCCATGTGAGATTGGCCCCATTCTGTGCTGTTCAGTGGGTTACATCGCAGTTCGGCCACTTTTTGGCTTGACTGTCTAACTTTGGGCAACTTATCTAGTCTCTTAGGTAAGCGTCAGTTTCAACTGTAAAAGGTGGATATTAATAGACCCTTCCTCACAGGAATGCTGTGCAGAGTGAGAGACAGAATCCATACAAAATGCCTAGTATCTGTTAGAGAGTAAGAAAGCACAAACGTTAACTGTAGTGATGGTGGTGATAGAGACGGTTAATACTAGAGTTACACTTTATCAACATGGTGATGATGATGATCCTGACACTGTTTAACACTGTTACTAACAAAGAATTACATTTCCTTCCTTTGGAAAATGACCCAATGTTTCCATGTATCTCAAGACTAGATCGTCATTCCCCTGATCTTTGTGTCTTTTGGGTTTCTTACTAGCAGACTCTCAAGTTGAAGTTACAGCTCACACACCACCCAATACGCCCCAGGGAAAAGAATGATGATAATATACAAATTCCTGCTGGTTGTCTTGGGCCTTATTAGGGTCATAAAATGTTATCCATTTACAAAAGCATCTTAGTAAATAGTTTACAGAATTCTGCTTTGTACTTGAAACACATAATTATCATTAACAAACACAGGCGCTAATAATTCAATCTGCTCTTTAGGCAAGAAACATAACATAAACATGGCCCTGGCCAGATCAGCTCATAATCTCAGTTAATTTGCTTTGTGTGTTTCCTCCCTCGCTTCCACCAATCAGATGCAAAGTGGGAGGTCTGTCTGCAAGGCAGAAGGCCTCTGGGCTGGTATTTGATAGTCTGGATATCCAAGAAGGCTACTCAGAGGACCGGGGCCAGTCCCCGAAGCCTCACACAGGTATTCCTTGGCATTTGCTGCCTGCCCTCAGAAAAATCAGATCTCTGATTTAATGTCTTCACCTAGAAAAATGGACTCAGGCCTGACACACTAACCTGGTCAACCTGTGCAATAAGCACCATACCTAAAACCAAAAGGCAAAATGCATCAAGTAAAAAGCAATCATCAGTTGAACACATAACATTCAATGTGCCCACATCCATCTATGCTGTCTCTCTTCTTTGTTGGGGCAAGACTCTCGTCCTGTTTTAGATCAGTAAATATTTTCTAAGGCTTAACATGTAAAGGTCCTATAATTAAAAATGCTCAGTAATTAGTGCACACACGTTCTAGGTGTATTCAGCAACGTCACTTACTGCAGACACTTTTGAACATTGCGCCGCACCCCTGACACACCCCCTATCTGCCACTGAGAAGGTTACTCTGAGGAAGTTCTCTTTCAATTGACCAAATTAGCTTCTGTGGTAAGCAGAGAAGTCTTTGATCTACTAACCATTTGCTGAGCATGGGGACTCCCCTCTTTGGTTCACCAGAAATATAACTTAAGCTCAAGCCAAACTTCCAAACCGCAGGACCACAGTAAGCAGTGAGGGCTTAGGATGGGAAACCTGGCAAACTGCCGAGGTGATGAGAAAAAGACAGAGTCCCAGGACTTTCAGAAGTCCACGCCCAACTACCTAACCAGAGCTCCCAAATGAAAAGCCGAGGGCTGCTGTAACAGCTGCCATTCTTACCTTGAGAAACAGAATGTGGTTGTCAGGCTCCTCTCGGGAACAGTGAAAAGGTTTACACTCAGAGTAATCAGCCTACCAGAGATAAAAAAGATAAGGTAAGAGCCACTGCTGACGATGAGTTACGTTCCTGAACAACTGGAATGTTTTCTAACAAAAGGCAGGTTTCTCAATGTTCGGAGACATTTCAGAACAGGACAGCAATACAGTCAATTGAACAATCTCAAATGCATGAAATCCCTGGAATCAAGTCAAGGTGGGGCCATTAACATTACAGAGAGTGTGAACTAGCGTTTTATTAACACACACCTGGGCCCCGTCTAATTAAGAATGGTAATAACTGGTGAAATCATACACTTCATCACGTCCCTCCACAAAAATGTCTGTTTACCAAAGAGCTGGCAGAACTGTCTATAACACTGGCATATATCAGGGTATTTGGCAGGTCGCTGCATTCACACATTCACGCATTCAACACATCCACAGTGAAGACTCTGTACCATTTAACCTGGTTTGGAAGACAGCCCTACCAGCTGATGAAATAATGACAACATGAGTCTTGAACCCAGATGAGGCGGTGGGAGGGAATTGGAATGTTTCCCTATATGCATTCAAATAAGCAAATATAAAAGACAAAAATTATGCCCAATTTTAAGAAACTTCTATTATATATTTATATCTTTTTTTGTAAGAGATCTCACTCTGGCCCAGGCTAAAATACAATGGTATGATCATAGCTCACCATGGCCTTAAAGTCCTGGGCTCAAGCAATCCTCTTATCCTCTTGACAGATGGGACTTCAGGCATGTACCACCACACCTGGTTAATGTACTAGTTAATTCTATGTGTCGACTTGGCTAGGCTATGGTGCCCCTCTGTTTGGTCAGACCTCAGCCCATGCTGCTGAGAAGGTATTTTTAAGATGTGATTAGCATTTTAATCAGTAGATTTTAAATAAAGCAGATTACCTTTCATAATGTGAATGGGCCTTGTTTGATCAGTTGAGGCTTTAAGAGAAAAGACTGAGGTCCCCCAAGAAGAAATGTTGTCTCCAGCCTACCTTTAAACTCAAGATTGCAACAGTAACTCTTCCTTGGATCTCCAACCTGGTAGCCTGTCCTGTGAACCTCAGACTTGCCAACCCCCACAGTTGTATGAGAAAATTTCTTAAAATAAATCCTTTTCCCCCTACTCTCTTTCTTTCTACACACATACAGACACACACACACACTCTCTAGGTCAGGGTTCTCTGAAGAACCCTAACTAGTACTAGTATGCCATCTAATTTCAAAAACGAATGAGTTAATTTACAAAACATATATACTATGTAAAGAAGACAACATAAAAAGAGGCTATAAGAACATGAGAAAAAGTCCACAGAAATGTATGTTGTAAGGTGCTAAATTATTACTGATATGGTTCATAAACTAGGCTGTGAGCATGCTAGTAGCCAAAGTGAAGAAGAAAATAGACAAACTCTGGTCACACTGAACATGATATAAAATACCATATATATACTCCTCATGAGTGTTAGCTTCGCATCATTGAGAAATTTTTTCCAAGTTGTTAACCTTCCCTACCTCAGGCAAATTCTTAAAGGATCCTTTATCATCCACATTTGAAGTGCAGAGTAATTCGTTAACAATGTCTCTAAGTATATACAGTAGGGAATCTCCTGTAATGTCTTCTTAACGTCACATATGACACCAAAGTACAATTCACTAAAGTGATCTAGCAAAGAAAAAAACACATAAAAATCTGGACATCTGGCTTGATCCAGGGCTAAAAGTTACAATTTCTGGAAAAACTAATGAACTCCATATCCTTTGAGATATTTTCCATAAATTTTATTATTTCTTCCAATAAAAAGTTGGGTAGGAACTGGGCTAAAACTGTCTGAGACTACAGTCCTGGTAACAGCCTGGAATAGTTTTCTCTATTGCTGATTAGTAGCAAATCCACAGAAAAACTTCCCTCAGGCAGATTTTTAAGCTTAAGTAATAAATGTCTAAGTAATAAAAAGTTTAAATTTATATATTTGTATGTGTATAAGTCTCAAATATCCGTCCTGCATTGGGATCAATATTTTAAAACTTTTTTATTATGGTAAAACAAACAAAATAAAAATTTATCATTTTAACCATTTTTAGAGTGTCTAATTCAGTGGTATTAAGTACATTCACAATGTTCTGTAACCATCACCATTATCCACTCCCATAAATTTTGTCATCCCAAACAGAAACTCTTAGCTAATTCCCCATTTCCCCTACCCACAGCCCCTGGTAACCACTATTCTACTTTCTGTATCTTTGAATTTGTCTATTCCAGGTATGTCATATAAGTGGAATCATACAATATTTCTCCATTTTGTGTCTGGCTTATTTTACTTAACACATTGTTTTCAAGTTTCAAACATGTGGTAGTATGTATCAAAATATCATTCCTTTTTATGGTTGAATAATATTCTATTGTAAGCATATACCACATTTTGTTTATCCTGGAATCAATTGTTATATAATTGATTCACCAAGTAATTATAGAGTACTTACAGTGTGAAAAGTCTTCTTTTTTAAAAATATTAATTATATTCTTAAGAAACGTACATAAGAGGTAAAAGAGCTACTCCACAATGAACCAGTTAATTATACGAATCCTAGTTTCAGAATCACTAGCAACAGCAAGAAGATAAAAGTCTGTTAAACAGTTTTTCTTCCCTAAGGGTTTGGTAAATCTCCCCACTCCAATCTTAATTAATGTTCCTCATATTTAATGCTGAAGCGGGGCTACAATATCCCCTGCTACGTGTAACTCTTCATACCACGTGCCTAAAGCTTAGAATGTGTCATTCCTGACCTCTCACCCGGTGATAATGAGGTTTTATCAAAAAGCTGATGTCAAAAGTCAGGCACTGCGGTACCCTGAAGCATTGGCTACTATCCCTGCAGGTAAAATATCATCCAAAAGCTTTTCATTTCTAGGGCATATAAATAAGGTAACTAGCATTCTGTGTGCAAGAGAACCTAATAGTTGAAAGAAAAGGAGAGAAGCTCCTCTGTTCCCTGGTCTTAACCTTCAACTTTCTGTATAGAAGAGCAGATGGCATGAAGCGGGAATGTCAGTGCACACCTGAGTTCACAAAACTGGCACTGTGTGAGTCATCAAAATACATCCAGAGGAAACCGACCAGAAACAACCATTTTTGTACACTGGCAAGGGAATTGCAAGCAAAATCAATAGCCATAAAGGATTCAGGCCACTCTGTTCAGCATAAACTTCACAGCTGGGAGGATCTGCTGTCATCTCAGATTGTTAGCACTTGGCTGAGTTGAAGTTCATTCACTACTTCTGTGTTCGGTTAGTTGGGAACATATTTAAACAACAAAAGACGTTGTAGAAAATTACACAAAATTAAGTCTTGGGTTCCTCCTCTGTGTTTTTAAAGACTGACTTCTAGAGCAACAAGGTGTTTTGGTTTTTTTTTAAGACCAAATGAATACTGTTAAGATTGTTCTTTTTAGTATGTAAGTAACCAGTCCTTTGCCTCTAAAACAGGAGACATTCCCACAGGGTGCAGAAGCAAGACCCCAACAGACTGAAATGAGGATGCTAACACAAAGGATCTCAAGTCAGCCTAATCAGGAACCCCAGAATGAGAAGGCACTCAGCTCTCTGTCCCAAGTAATTACCCCATCTCAAGACATCAGTAATACACATTCTGGAGAGATGAGATGCACAATTTGAGCACTAAACTTTTAGCTGTGAATACCATTCCTACCCCTCAAGTATAATTAAGTTAATTCAGGCCTTTCTGATGTACAACTCTCCCCAGAAAAGTCCCATTGGCCTGAATTCAATTCTCAAAGGTGAGAACCCTGATAAGGCAATCAAGGCTTATCAGTTATGAAACTGAACTTGAACTTGTAAATAACAATTCCCTTCTGTTTTGGGCTGAATTGTGTACCCTGCCCCCACCCCGTCACACCAAATTCATATGTTGAGGTCCTAATTCCCAGTACCTCAGAATATTACTATATTTGGAGAGTCTTAAGAGGTAATTAATTAAAAATGAGGTCATATGGGTGGGCCCCAATCCAATCCAGTAGTTGACTTGTGACCTTATAAGAAGAAATCAGGACACAGATGTACAGATGGAAGAAAATATGAAGGCAGGGAAAAGACCATCCACGGGCTACAGAGACAGCCCTCAGAAAGACCCAGACTTGCTGACACCTTGATTTTGCACTTTCAGCCTCCAGAACTGTGAGAAAATAAATTTCTTTTGTTTAAGCCACCCTGTCTGTGGGGCTTTGTTGTGAAAGCCTGAGCTAAGATACCTTCCCTTTATCTTTCTCCTCTAATTACCAGGATTCCCAAGGAAGAGTCTGGAAAGGTCACAGAGACTCTGTGTCCTACTTAAGAACCTCACTGTCATTCATTCCCTTATCCCCAAGCAGGATAATCTCTAAATTCAAAGAAAGTGACAAACAGGAACACCTCACAAACATCCTGAAGATCCCAAATCTGAAACAAGACCACTGCCTTCCCCATGACCTCAGCTTTCCATAGCATGGAAGCATTCTGCACCCTTTTTAAATGTTCTGTGCTGACAAGAGGTTGCCCTGAAAACAGCATCTTTGGGATGCTATTTCCAGAAATTGTGTCCTCATTTCTATTACCTTGACATCCAGGGCTGGCTCAGGTGCCTTAACCAACCAGTTTCTTCTTTCTGAAAAGAAAGAAAAAGTAGGGGCAAAAATCTTTGCACATTACAGAACCAAGTCCAGGGTAAGAGATTATCAGCAACAAAAAGATTCCCAGTTGCCTCAAGGCTTGATTCACAAGTAATCACTTTTTCCTTCACTGGAGGAGTTCACACAGGAGAGGTGATTGATGTCTTTTGTTAGTGCTGGGAGTCATGAACACCATAGTTTAATTTCTACAGCCTCCACAGACAATTTTTGACCTATAGCATAGGTGGGCATTAGATCTGACTCCCCATCCTATGGTTCCAAGGGGATTGCAATGCATCCAGATGGGGAACAAAACAAAATGGACGGTTGGGAGGCAAGTCATGG